AAAGTTATAATAATTTGGAGGGGAGGGGGCCACATTTTCTATTCCAAAGGAGGTTCCTGCCTTCTTTGGCAGACACATGTCCTTCAAACCAAGACATTGCTGTTGTTGCTCTAACTCAAAATGAGTGAAGATGAATATACATGTTGATCTATCCAGTCCTGCAGACAGTGAGCCAATAAAAATGTCATTAACACAGCCAGAGTATTCAGGGACGTGGAGAGAGATCTAAGCCTGAGGTGTGCTGTTCCCTGAGCACTGCTTTAATACATACACTTCCCAGCTTTTGAATCTACCGCTGAAGTCTTAGAATGTAATAAAAAAAACCCCACTATAATGAAAAATGAATCTGTAAGGGGAAAAAAAGCTAGTGTGAATCCTCTTATATAATATGCAATTCAAAATTAGATGGGTTTTTTCAATCAAGTAGATATAAAATATTCAACTACATTTCTACCTCCTTCCTTTTTGTAAGAAAATCAATAAATGCTGGTGGCTGGGAGAGATTTTGACATATTAGAGACAAAAATTTTCTACTTGACTCTTTTAACTAACCACCCTCACTTAGCAGAAACACAAATGCAAAAAAAGGGCTTTTTCTAAAGTAGTGAATATTTACTTTAATTTGAATTCAGCCTTAGGGCTGATTAATTGTCCTGAATCCAAAACAAGATGAAAAACAATTTAGGGACTGACACTTCAATTTCAAATGTCCTTATCCATTTCTTTTTATCCTCCCTTTTTCCCTTTTGTCCTTGCTTCGAAGTCAAGCCAAACACAGTTTTGCTTGCTTTTGTTTTGAGACCTGTTAAACTCCCTTGGTTCTCCTTCTTCTTTTCTATTGGGTTCGAAGCTGGCTTCAGTTTGTGGTTCAGAGCCAGCTCCAGGTGGCCTGGGGATTACAGATGCCTTGCCACCAGAACAAAGGAAACTGCTTTGTGAACTCTGGCAAAGCTAAGCCCTTCTTCCTATTTCCAGTCAAGAGAGTAGGCCCAGGGTGTAACTATTCTCTTGAAATAGAGAATTACAGATCTTAGTTTCAGTGTGAAAATAAAAGACAATTTTTCTTCTTTGCACTGTGGAGTGGTTCTTTCATTTCTTCCCTCTTCTTGTTTCCTATATGACCACTACTACTTATAGAATTAGAACCCACTAGAAAGCAACTCCTGTGGAAAATGCATGGTTTGGAAACGTTTCAGAAAAGACAGATTATCGGAAGACCCTCTTCCAGACCCATGGGCTTATTTCCTTCACATGTATGTAGAAAATGTCACCTGACAGGTTCATGTGGGTTCCAGCATTCTCTACTTAGATACAACTCTTTGTACCTGGCCTCACAACACTAAGATCACCACTGGAAACCCTCCAGCATCTTCCTCATCCACCTGGAAACTGCTTGCTTTTCATTCCTTTTGGCCACTGTTTCTGACAGCAAAGCCCAGGTTACCTGTAGCTTTGCTGTTGTTATCTGTTCTTGTGTCTGGCTTTCCTCATTAAAAATGGCCATATAACCTTTCCTGCCAGCCAGAGACTGCTGGGAGCACTGACCTCCTCCACCAAGCTCTATGACCATGTACTGAAAACAAAAGTGGATCCTCCTTTTAATAATTCATAGGCCATCTGTTTAGCTTCTGAAAGAAGAAAAGCAAAAATGTGGGGTTTGTGCTAGTTAATCTACATACCTCTACCAAAAAAACCCCAAAAAACAAAAAAACCCAGCAAACAAACAAAAAAGACCCTTACCATGAACAACATGCAGCTTATGAAGGAGACCACTTGTGGACACAGGGGTCCTGAAAACAATTGGGAAGAAAGAACTGGGTTCCTTCCCAGCACAGCAGCTCTATGGGCTTCCTGAGAGAACTTTTTAGGTGAGCTGCCATCAGTGCCCTGTGTGGCTAGGACTGCCCTGTTCCTGTCTGTTTGCCATGTGGTAAAAACAAAGTTGTAACAATCCTCTTTGTGATTCCCCCTCCTGAGTTTTCCCTCAAGCTGTCAACTTTAGAGACCCCCTTTGTGCCTCCAGAACCCTCAAGGCAGGGAAGACACCAAGAAAAAACCAGCACGGATGCATCAGCTGCTCAGAGAACTGAAAAATTAAATCTAACCCCCCAGCCTTGGGGAACAGCTTGCCCAGCACAGGGAGGAATGGCTCATGACTTCAGCAGACTTAGCTCCCAGACTTCTTCAAAACTGAGAAGAACAGCAAGGCTGATCAAACTACTGATTCCTTTTGTACGTGACATGAAATATCGTTGTTTTCCAGAGCTGACTAGATTAAAGGAAGACTCCTACTTCAGTCACTGTCATTCCTGCAGAAATTGCCCTTTTCTGGATTACCAGCAGTAGCAGTAATGTGAGTGTCTGGTGAAGAAGCATCCATGAAGCTTTCAAGTCTATTGCTTTTGGCTTAGTGAGGGCTTTCTTCATCATGAGCCTGAATAGATTTATTGTCTTGGTCATGGAGTGTGAACAAAAGTGATGGTACTCACCAGGCACTTAGTTTCCTCAATTCTACTCAATTCTAATTGTAACTAATGAAAAGCATACTGCATTTTTAGGTTGTGGTTCCAGGAAGCGTTTTAAATAGAAGTAGCCTCCAGCACTGTTGAAAATGCAATCTAAATAATGCAAGATTGTTAGGAGAAAATACAGCACTATTAAATAACACCAAGTAATGGACAACTATTCAAAGACATTATTTTTTATTAGCCTGGATCATTATTACTGAGCACATGTGACCTTACTTGCACTCAGTAATACTTATATTCATTCAGGAAAGCTGAATAATCATTAGTGATTAATTAGTATTGATTATACTGAGAGGTTGTATCCATATTTTGTGGATTTTCAGTGCTGTAAAAACTCTCCAATATGTTTTGTTTTCTTCTTACAAGAAGGGTAACCCTTTTCAAAAGCTAATTTAGGAGAAAGTTGATTTATTTTCCCTAAATGATATAATCCCACCGCAAATGATGGATTGTTTTCAGTACAGGGAAGTTTTCTTTCAGGTAAGATAATATGTTTTGTGCAGTTTGTGAGAATGAGACTTTATTATAGACTCCCAACTGAAGCACATCACATCAGTGTGCAAAGTGAGCCTTTTCACTCCGAGGTGAGGGAATGGACAAAATGGACTGATTTTATTACACAGATGTACAGGTGGCATTTTGAGGAGAAGTGAGTAGGAAGGACAAAGTCAGTGGTTTTGCTGAATGTGTAACACTAATGGTGCTGAAAATGGGATGTTTCTGAAGATTGCCTCCTGATTTGCCTTGCAAATGGCTCTGTCTGCCAATACCTGCTCATGCCACACCTTTGAGGAGAACCCATTTGCAGTGTTTTCCCAGCACTTGTTTAGCATGAAGCTTCAACCTCTGAAGTGTCCCTGTAGACCTTTTTATTTTCTTCTCAACTACAGGCTCACTTGACAGGAGGAAATGTAAGAGAAGATTTGTCATGGAACTTGTTGGACATTTTTTTAAATAAAAAAGACTATCCTGGGTCTAGTTGGTGGGAGTGAGCAGCCAGTATCTTTAGTCTCAGGGTGTGACTGATGGATCACTTTCCAGGTGCACAGGCCACCCTCTGGTCGTAGCTAAACCAGTTTGGGCAGAGCTGTGAGAGAGGAGGCAGTGGCAAAGTCAAGATACCTCCCACAGGGGCTGCCCACAGCTCCCCTCAATGGGAGTAACCCCCCAGCATGACTGGTTTGCTCCTGGCTTTCTTGGTAGTGGCACAATCAGTTAAAGTGGCAGGATGATGCACAATGGGAGGAGGAGCCCTGTTATAATGTGGCTTTTTCTCCATGTCACAGGGTGAGGGGCAGAGCTGGCAGCCTGGGCTGCAGCTGCCCTGCCCAGAGAGCCAATGCCCCACAGTACATCAGGGTATGTGCTTGATAGTCCTGTTAAAGCTGCTAGGCTGAAGGAATTTAATTTAATTTAATTTTCGTGATCATGTGGAATGGGAACAGAGCTGGTTGTGTTTATCCTGCCCTAATATTAAAAGTAGCTCTCAGGATTCTTGGCCCCAGCAGTCACTGCCCTGTGGCCAGAGAGGGATCCTGGAGACCTGATTTTTGTTACAGGAGTTGCAGCCACGGACAGTCCATGCTGGAGGAGGGGAACACATGAGGAGAAAGAGGTGGTGGGGGAGATGTTATGGACAGACCACAACCTCCCAGCCCCACTCCTGTACCACTTGGGGAGGGAGAGGTAGAGGAGGAAAAAGAGGATGTGAGTGGAATGTGTTTTAGTTTCTTTATCTTTCTCACCATCAAACCTATTATCATTTGCAATTAATTGAAATATTTATTTTTCATGTGAAGTCTGTTTTGCCTGTGGCAGTAATGGGTGAGTGGTCTCCTTGTCTTTTTATTGACCTATTAGCCTTTTAATTTTATTTTCTCTTCCCCATCCCATTGAGAGGAGTGAAGGGTGCAGCTTTGTGGGAGGTTGGCAGCTGGTCCAGGTCGACCCACCACAGTATCATGTGCTGTAGAATTTTGTACAGGGGTCCCGTCTCAGGGAGAAATTCTTCCTGTGTGATGTGCTTTAACATCCAGCACACAACCCTTCTTCTCAAATGTATAGCACTGCACACTGGAGTGAAATCTCCTGAAGGTGGGAGAGAAGAAGGGTGAGGATAAGTGTGGGGGGGTTCAGAGGAAATGGGACAGTGTATCCTGACCAACATTTGAGGTGCCAACAGGTTCCTGTGTTCACAGACTTGCAACCTCAAAAGAGCTGCTGTGCTTGGTTGGATCACTTGTCAGCAATATTTCTTCAAGGTTCTTCATAGTCTTCACAGTCAGTCAGAAGTGAGCCTTTATGTTTCCTAGTAATTCCTCTGTGCTGGAAATGCACAGCATGGCTGTCACTATTTGAATGTGTCACTCAAGTGTTTGTAAAAATGAGAGCTTAACAAACAAACTTACTGTGCCAAGACAAACGTGGTGAAAAGAAGGCAGGATAAATGAAACTGTCTTTCTATCCCTGCAGAAACTCAACATATTGCATGAAGGTGTCCATGTCCTTGACCGTAGCTGAGAATGAATCTGGGCTTTGCTACAACAGCAAGATCAGATATCTGGAAAAATCAGAAGTCACTAAGAGGAAGACAATCTCCTGTCCTGATATTGAGGATTACAAAACAGCTGGTCAAGAGCCAGATGTGGTGTGGTACAAGGTAACTATTGCTGTCTTATTGCTGTTATGCTGAAACTGTTCAAAACTTTTACTGTTTTCAGTCTGAGGCTTAGAGCCGACTTTCTCTGAGGCATCAGTGGTTTGTGACTGGTCTGGTGAGTGTTCTCCCAGTATGACAGTTTTGCAGGTAAAACTCCCCAGCACGGTCATTGTCCAACAGAAATCAGTATCAACGAGGATGTTCTGTGAGAGAGCTCACATGACTTCTCTATCAGCATTCCCAAACCACAGTGCCTCTGTACCAGTTTGTACCTGGCTGTGGTGTCTCCCTGCATGATACTGGAGTAGAAACAAAGGTAGGCACCTGTAATGGAGCCAAAGGTGTATCAGCAGAGCCAGCTTCAGTTGTGCTGCCCAATTAATTTTTATGGAGTCCATTGGGTAATTTCACCAAAATTGTAGATTTTTACCAAAGTCTCCTGGAGTCTCCAGAAGTCTGCTGAGGTTGATTGAGTTACTGTCATGAAGTCAGTTAATTTTAACTGAGGTCAGTTTGATATTTTTACTGCTTGCCAGGTAACTCATCTGCTTGCACTTCCTCCAAGGACTGTGAAATATCATACACCACTTTGATCAGCAGATGTATTTGTGATGTGTTTCTGTAGCTCCCTAAGAAGGCAGGAGAATGAGTAAAATATGGGTTGGCTGGCAAATATCAGGTAATGAGACCACAGCAAGTTCTAGCAAATTTTGCCTGTTGTCTGGACTTGGGACAGTCTGATGTTTGAAAAGCCCTCAAGTATTAGTTGAGGGCTAATACCCTCAACTGCAAGAAACAGTAGAGAAGAATAAAGAGCTGAGAGTCAGAAGGAGCTGGAAATAGTTGGGCAAGAGAAACAGTTCAGTGGTGTCTGTGGAAAATAGAGTTTGGATTGTAGGAGTTTAGGAGAAGCTTGGTTCGGGTAATAAAGGCAGAAACATACAGACTAGTTAAAACCTAAATTTGGAGTGCTTGATTTGCCACCCTTAATAGTATTTTTTAAAGACAATTATTTTGTATGACGTAAGTAATATGGGCAGACTAGCGGATTCTTTTCCTCCTTATCAGGTTGCAGCTGAAAAGAGCAATTATAAAAGTTGTCATTTATTTGTTTTTTTACAAAATCTCATATGCTATATCTTATAGTAACAAAATGTGTGCCATAACCCACCGTTAGTGTGAACAAAGTTTTCCTTTCAGCAGTTGATGCTGTTTCTCTCAGCATATGGGTTGATATCTTCAGTACTGTTCATATGTCAAATACATTTAGTTAATCGTAGAATATATTGTGTTGGAAGGGGCTCACAAGGATCATTAATTTCAATTCTTGGCTCTGCACATGAAATCTCAAATCGCAGAGCAAAGAGGGCTCTGAAGAGAAGCTGCTTCTTGCCCTCTCTATCTTGGTATTACTGAACACCAGATCACTGAAGATCTCAATTTTTTGCAAAAAGCACGCTGAAAAATAGTCTGGCAGAAATTATCTTCAGCTGTTATGGAGCAGAAATGAGTCTAAAGAAGATGCATGTGCAGCCCCACAGCAGCAATGTTTTGTACTGACCAAGACAGGGAGTAGAAGGGTCTGTTCCATAATCCCACCCGTATTGTCTGGGTGTCACACACAGGTTGTGTGACACCAGGCTGGAGTGTGACAGCTGACTGGCAAATCATCACTGAGGTGAAACTGAACAGAATTGATGCCTTTGGATGATAACAGTGAGACAATCAAAGTCGACAACTTTTAGTCTGGCTTGATAGTGAAAACAGACATAAGCGAGATAAACTACTACATACACCTTCTTATCTATAATTAACAATATTGAGTTATCAGTTTGGCTCTTAGAGAAACATCTTTGCTACCTAGACCTGAGTCAGGAAGCTCAGCAGTGTGCAATCTCAATATTAATGTTGCACAGAAGGTGTGGATGTCAGATTATGCCTTGAAACTTATTCATGAAGAGTTTTGGATTACTCTAGAGACTATTATGTTACTGCTAATAAGTCTCCATATTCAAAAGAGCAGAAGTCCAGTTTCTAGAAAATATAATTATATGGATTTCAAAATAATTTGGTGAATAGTGGGTTAACGCCTACAAACTGCAGTCTGGGACTTCTGAGCATGCTGTGGGAGGCAATGTGAGTAACAAAAGGCAGGTCCCTTCTCCTGAAAAATAGTGTAAAGTGTTATCCTGCCTTAGGATCTGACCCTCACTTTCCAAAGAAGGCATCCATTTCTGGTCATAGCAAAGTGGTTTTTCCCCCTAACCTTGGATTTTAAGCTTGATGTGTACGTAAAGACACCTTCTTGAGTAAATCTGCTCCAGAGGCACTGGTGGGAGCCAGGGTGGGGAGGAGAGGGGGTTATTCCTTTCCATTATGCTGGAATATTTAGAGATTTTTCACCCAGGCAGGGAGCATAAGTTGTCCAAAATAGAATGCTAGATAGATAAATAAATATGAGGAAGTCCTTGAGATTTCCTTCTTCAACCCTTCTGCTGAAATGAGAAATCCTTGTTCACTGGTAATCAGGCAGTTTGGACTTAGGACCTGTAAGTACCATCAGACAGGGCAGTGATGATGCCAGCCCACTGTGTGCAGAACCTACTCTGCCTTCCAAAAGGCTTCTCTGTGTTGAGGGATTAATGAATCTGAGCTAGTAATTGCATCAATTTACTGGGAGTTAACTGTAATTTAAACATGCTCTTAATTATGCCTGAATAGAATTCCACATGCATACTCGGTACGTAATAGAACATTTGCTGTGAGGATTTGTTTTAACAGTAGTATGAACTTCACTTCTGGCTAGAATTACACTGCATTAAATATTTATTTTTAAAGATTTCCCCAATTAATGCCATTGATATATGCTCAGCTCAGTTATGCCTATTAGAACTGTTTTGACAAGACATAGGGGATTTTTTTTTGAAGTAAATGTGTGTGTCAAGGCATGATTGAATGGATGGGATTTAAGAGTAAGAGCAGTTTCATGAAAAATCAGCTGGCAGAAGGAAAAGGTATATTAGATCTTGACTGTGGAGTCTTAATCCATTTTCATCATGTCTTTTCTACTACTGGGTTGAAAGCAGGGCTAAGAGAACAATCAAAATGTCAGGTGAAGGACAGGTATTTGTTATCTACCCAGAAAAATAGACTTTTGAGATACTGCCACTTAGATTTCAAGGAAGAGGAAAAAAGGATAATAGTACAAAAAAAAACAAGACATTTCAGATGTCTAAGGAAAATAAATAATCTAGAAAAAGAAACTTGCAGATTCTTCTAGCAGGGAAGCATATTGCAAAAGCAGGAAAGACCAATTAATTGGTTAAAGCCTTTGGGGAGAACTTGGAGCACCTCCCAGTACCTGAAGGAGGCTTAGAAGATGACTGGAGGGGGACTTTTCCCAAGGGCATGTAGTGAAAAGATGGGAGGAAATGGCCTTGGACTGAAGGAGGGTAGGTTTAGATTAGATATTAATTTTTTTCCTGTGAGAGTGGTGAGGCACTGGCACAGGTTGCCCAGAGAAGCTGTGGACTCCCCATCCCTGGGAGGGTTCAGCACCAAATTGGATGGGGCTTGGAGCAACTTCTTTTACTGGAAGCTGACCCTGCCCATGCAGGGGAGTTGGAATGAGATGATCTGTAAGGTCCCTTCCAATCCAAACTATTCTGTGATTCCATGAATTGAGTCATACAATTGAGCACTTATCCTTTTAGAGAAATTACCAGACCTCCGACAGTAAAATCTAGATTTTTTTGTCACAATATAAAAACTAGTAAGAATTTGGTTTCTCAGCCATTTTCCAGCTTCTCTCCTTTTTTGTTTTTAGTTTTGTGTATTAAATATATGAACAAGCATTTTCAACATACTCTTGTAAAGCCTGCAGAGTCAGCAGAATAAAAAATAATTAGCTGGAATTTGGGAAAGAAAGCCTTATAAATAATCTTTAATAGGAAGTGTTTCAAGAAGATAAAAAAAGAAATAGTTAGGAAATTAGTGGTACAATTCCACCAGAAAAATTCCTCTATGTAAAACCACAATAGCACAAACATTGTTTTTGCTAAATCGTATATCTTTGTAGTAGTAAAGGTGTCATCCTTCTTATTGCAAACTTGTATATAAAAATATAAAGCATATAGAAATGTATCTGCCATCTCTTTGTTCCCATACTTTTAAAAATAAAGTAGAGACTATAAAACTGGTAACACAGGTTATTTCAGTGCTGCACTAAAGGGTGCATAGCTGAAATATGCTTACTTTGTGTGTTCTGGGAATTGTATTCCTTCTAAATTAGGATTGAATAGGACTGAATCGTATTCTTTGCCCAGTGTTCAGATTTAGTAACTCCGAGTAAGTGGTTGATGTACCTTTCAATAGAACTAAAATATTGAGCTCAAATCAGAAAGGATTTAATGGCATTTCCTGGCTCAGATTTGTGTCCTGAATGAGTCTCAGCACAGTAGATGGGATCTGGATTCTGGTCATTCTCTATCACCAGTATTAACTAAAGCTCACTTGCAATACAAGCTATTGCTTCTCTTACAGTGTACTTTGGAAACAGAGAGAGGCGCTGATCACTCTGTTACCTGCACAGCTTCTGAATCTGAAATCTGATCACATTAGAACTGAATTTGGCCTCCAAGGGACAGGGAGAATTCTTCAGTGCTCCCTTTTCAAGTGCAAGGCCAGAAATCTCAGTCTTGTCTTTCTTTTTCTCTCTTGTTGTCCTTTAATTTAGAATCTGACATGGATTCTGAATGCTTATGGAGTCCATGAAAAATTTATGTTTGTGTCATGCTGATCTCTTACTGTGGTACAATATATTTGCATGTTGACGTATTTTCTTGTTTGGTTGTTTTCTTAAGAGAAAGCTTTGTTCTATTTTGTTTTCTGTGTTTCTGACACTGCTGTTGCAGACAAGCAGAAAATGGGGCATAGGTGTGGGCATGTCACCAGTCTCTGAAGTTGCTGAGCCTGATGTAACTGATGTGAGACAGCAGCAGTCTGAGAGCTTATTCCAAGCTGCCACCTTGAGAGAGGGAGTAGAGGGGTATTGAAGGTACTCAGGCCCTGTGTTACTTTGTGTTTCTTGGCTACAGGATTAGCCAGAGCCTCTAGAGCTGTTGGCACCACTGAGTGCTTTAGAGAACTCAAAAAGTATGATTTTGTTGCAGGCAGAATAGGCTTGATGTTAAAGGTATTTAGAGACAATAAATACATAATCTTAAGGTGCCATTTTCAAGAGATAATGATTAGATTTGGCCCATGCTTTTTGTTCAGAGTATTCCAAGAACAATTCAATCATGAGTGCTGTTCACATGGAAGGTGACTGATCTGCCTGCAAGGATCCACTGTATTAGGAAAGGGAGAGCCTCTTCTTGCACTGTATCACATCCTATCCAGAAGGACTCAAATGCTGTTCCAGTAGGACCACAGTTTGTAGCAATGAACCTAAATCTGCCAAACAGCAGCTAAGGACCGTGTGGGTGAAGTCTGTGAGAGTTGCAGGCTATCAGTTCCATGTCCTGCATCAGAGGATGCATGTGAGGCTGATGTTGTAAAATGCCTGGTGATGGGAAAAGGCTGAATCACAGCTCATCAGGTGCTGGAGAAGCCAGTGATGAGAAATAAGGTTGTGAGGAAACCAGGCTTCTGAATGCTCTCAAAAAACTGCTGTTCTTCCTGTTTTCTTCTTTTGGTAAGTGGTTCTGGCCTGGGACTATCTGTAAAATTTGCCTTCAGGCTAACTCTTAAGAGATGTTGCCCTTACTCCCTTCAAATAGAGATGTATTTTGATGGTCCATCCTAAAGGAGAGGTCTTGGCAGTTGTTATGAAGGAAAAGAAGATACTTAACCATTGTTTGAGGGCACCATGTATTAAACACAGCCCCTGTGATACAGTAGGAATAACTTAAAAACATTTCTGTTTAATTTCAGTCTTCAAATTAATTCCAGTTTCAGATCTCTCTGCTCTCTGAAATTATATTTTAATTTTAATTGCAAAATATACCTAGGCAGTTGTTTCCTTATGTATAATACTGAAAATCTGGTCAGGCAACACTGTCTTATTTCATACAAGCCAGGTAATTTTGGCACTGATTTTTTTTCTGCAGGAATGTGAGCCAAAAATGTGGAGAAGCATTGTAATTCAGAAGGGAAATACTCTCTTAATTCAAGAGGTCCAGGAAGAAGATGGAGGAAATTATACCTGTGAACTGAAGTTTGAAGGCAAGCTTATACGAAGGACAGTTGAATTGAAGGTTACTGGTAAGAATCTTTTTTCTATGCCAATAGGAAAAAAAAATAAAGCTTTGAAATAATAAGAAAAAATGGTATTCGCATTTCAGTTAAATCTGTCAGTGGATTTGTTTGATAGAAGTAAGCCCAAAGCAAATCCCAGTAGCTGAGAAGTCCCAGACTCAGAGAAATTTGTATCAAGATCTGAAATTCCACAGAAGAGTACTTCTACCTTTTGCTCTGTACAAAACCTGGAGATGCTCCATATTTTAAAGCTTTCATTTAATTTATGATGATCAGTTTTTCTAGTCTAGGGATTGTCTTTAGTGAAGACTATGGCATAACCTATTCCAAGAATGAAGTTAGCATTATTGGACTGTCAAAACAAAGTAACCTGCTTGTAAGTAGGTCACACACTCTGTGGTTCTGACCCCATGTAGTATTTTACCAGACAACAGTATTTTTCTGTCTATTTTTTCCAGGTACCAAAAACGAATTGATAAAATGTATTGTCTACTGATATATTCCTGCTCCCTTTTCATCCCACTGTACAGTATGACATCTGAAATTACCATTTTGCCTTCTATGTCTGTGGAAGTTTGCAAGTACCTGAAAACAGTTGAGGTTTTCTTCAGCCTTTCACACAAAACCATATAAACAAATGGTTAGATATTTTCCCACATGCTGGTTAGAATGGGGCCCTACTCAAAGCAGTGACTGGTAGAATTCCTCTTTCTTATATAAAACTGAATTATTCCATGTGATGTTTCTAATATGTTCTTGAAAAAGAAGTCTTCCCTTTATTTTGAGTAGAATATATTTTGTTATCATTATTGCTCATTTTCAGTGAGTTTTTTCTCTGTGTGCCCTGTGTCACGTGACCCTTTATTGTCCATTTTTGACCATGGAAAGAACTCTAAAGTATTGATTTGACCTACCTGACCCTAGACCTGAGATCTGAATGAAGATATATTGAATGAAGATATAAGACCTGCTTTGTGGATAGTCGCTACCCTAAGTAGCATGCTGGTCTTCAAGCAGAATGTGAACTAAGTTTGACAGAGTGAAAATGAGATGCATTTAACTCAATTCTTCACAATGGATATTCTATGCTCTCCCTCTCATCATGACCTTGCTAGAAGTCATGTGTTCCCTTCATTATTAAAACACCGTGGTGTATTTTTGCTCCACAATTTAAGGAATTTGTCCTAAATTAAATATAGTATTTATTACAGCTATTACTCTTATTAAAAGGTTTATTAGCTGAATTATTTAAAATGTAAATATGAAATATGTAAGCGTTCTCATTTTTGCAAGATGCTTGAGAAGCAGAAGATTTTTCCCCTTTTAATTTGGTGTGAATTCATGTTGCATTAATTTTTGTTTAGTTTATAAAAGCACATATGTTTGTTAATACCTTTTCCAGATGAAAATGGTTGGGAGACATCTGATATGTGTTTGCTGGTTGTATCTCTCTAGATATCTGAAAGAGACTAGTAAGTTTATGTAAATGAAAACCTAAAAATGTGGATAAGAACTACAAATGTAATACAACCATGTAAGCATATTATCTCACAGCTTGGTTGAGCAAGTTTGTGTCTCCTGTTTTTGTTTTGTTTCAGTTTGTGAATTTTACATGTGTGTAGGTTTAAATCTTTGTGGGGGAGAGGTCAAAGAAAACTTGTACAACAAACAGCAAAGGATTGCTTGTGTTGTGTGGCTGTCCAAGCCAGGTGGGGAGGTCCTGAGGGCAGATCACAGCCTGGGAGCAGGTACATGACATCCTGAGGGACTTGGTTGAATAAATGTTGTGTCTTGCATGGACTCATCCCAGTATGTCCAAGTCTTTCTTGTAATGGAATTTGTGTTGCACTGGGCCCCATTTTTCATCTGTCTGAAAATGGGTTCTCGTCAAAATACTGTACCAGGAGAAGCTAGAGGGAGAACAGAGCTCTGACTTCTGAATCTGGTGGTCTTTAAAAATCACTGTTAGCAAATACTGCTGAAGGCTGGGGTAGAATTGTCTCTGCTAGCCTGCAGCACAGATGTGGAGAAAAGGATCTTGCCTGCTGCTTTCTTCTGAAGGAGCTTTGTAATGCTGTTTCTGTTCCTGGTACTTATTACCATGCCTGGATTGGCATTTATTGGCAAGTGTCTGAGTTCCTCAAACATAGAGATTTTGAGCAGAAAGGCTCTGTTAGGCACTGCTAGCAGCCATGGTAGCCTGAAATTGTTATTGAAGAGTTATTCTGAAAGTGAAATGGGTAACTCCATGTCTCCCTTGAGCAAGGAGAGATGCACTACCATGGAAAGAGAGGAAGCTGGCTTAGATTCCCTGTAGTCTTTTAGGCGTTTTCTAAAGTATACAGTACAAAGTACACCAGTTAGGTGGATGAAGTTATTTATCTCTTGTTTGTAAGACAAGGATCTTTTCTTCTTTGAAGTCACATCAAATATGGTACATGAGGTTTTTAGTCCTTTGTGAAGATTCTGGTAGTTATGTAAGTAGCAATATGAAATATTTGCTATTCATAGCTAAATGCAGAACGGGCATCTCAACAGTGAAACTTGAAATCAGAATAAATGCAGTGCTGTCATAACAGAAGTTACATCAAAAGCTTTAAGAAAATTTGAAGGTGCAGGAGCCAGATGCACCATTTTAACTTGCTGCTGGTAAAACTAATCAGAATAGTTAATGAGATCCCAGACAAATGCAGCAGTTTTGCTGAAGATGTGATCCTTCAAGGTAGCCTGATCAAAGTTAACAGCAGACGAGAGCAGTTGTGGGCCAAGTGAAGGGTGATTGCTTGTTCAGTATTTCTATCAGTGCTGCCTGACTGTCAGCACAGTTGTCTTAGTGGCTGTGCCTGTGGCAGGGAGCTGCAAGGACAGCATGTGCTTTCCTTGGATCCTGTCTTGCCTTCTGGCCTTTGCAGACCCAAATGGAAGATCTCCGTGGACCAGTTAGGGGTACGAGGGGAGTTCCTTCCTCCCTTTCTTCTGTGACTAAGTCATGATATGAGCAATTATGAGATAATTTGTAGGAAAGAAGTCTCAGGAGTCTTAGATGGAAACTGAAAGCTATCAGTGTGTGATGCCTGGCCAGGGGAAGGCAGACAGAGGGACCTGAGTGGTATTGGTAGGTGAGCAGAGCAGAAAGCAAACAGATGAGATGGCATTTGCAAGAAGGGGCAGCTGGACACAGGGCTGGCAGTGTCATTGTCTGGCTGTGGTGGGTGATGGACAGCTCAGTGTGATTCACTTGATAAAAGGCTTCAGAGGCTGTAGCTCTTCGGGCTTGTAAGGGAAAGGCTTGCAGCCTAGAATATATTTGAAAAATATTTTGACACAAAATATTTTTAGGGACAAAATCCTGAGCTTCAATACAGCACTAATGAGCAGTGCCTAAATCTTGGTGTTTGGGTGCATTTGACAATAATAGATTGTCAACAAACCAGCTTTTTCATCACTAGTTCTTCATGGGTTTGTTATATTATGCAGACAGATGTGAAACTAGTCTTGTCAGCCTTTTTTGCTGAAGAAACATGACAACAGTGTTATCTCTTAGCAAATAATACATAACCCTTCAGTCTATGTAAAAAAAATACTGATACTATTTCACTTTGCTTCTTGGTAGCTTTGGTGTGACAAACAAGTGAGATTAGAAACTGATCTAGGGTTCTAAAGCATAAAAATGTAACAGAAACTCAGTTTTTAATTAGATAATAAATTAGAATGCACCCATTTAGAAAAAACTGAATGCACTGATATAAAGTTACAGATAATCTACATTATTAGAATTTATTGAAATTATAGTTATTCAGGAATATCAGCAATCAAAAGCATGTTAATGAGTGTTGCAAATGCCAATGTTTATTGAAGAACAGTTATACTATTCAGATTAAAAGAAAAAAACCCCAAACATAGAAAGTAATGTTGGTTTTGAAAGGCAGTTTATGCATCTTCCCGTTTTCCCCAGCCATACCAACAAGTTACTCCATCTTGATGCACAGCAATGTTTCAATAGCTTTGAGGGTGAAAAGGTGCCATTGTGAAAAGCACCTGCTGTGTTTATGTGCTCCTTCAGCACTCGTTTTGCTTGGAACACTGGTGTGTAAGGGCACAGGCCGAGAAGAAGATGCAAGGAGACGTTGTCTTGGAGGTTTGGGAAGGATGATGCTTCTGAGAAGGGAGCAAGGCCTGCTCTCATGGTGACACCCAGGTGCCCCTGGCAGATGAGGCTTTTGCAGATTTTGCAGGGATGTGTTTCTTCAGGAGCAGCTGTGCCAATGGGAGAGGTTGCCTTGTTCTTTCTGCTGCCTGTGAAAAGAGGTGATTTGTGAGCTTGTACTGGTGAATTATTTTCCAGTATGCCAGCAGAAGGTGGCCATCTGACCAATTTTGTAAACTGCAGGAGCTCTGTCCTCCAAGTTTCCTTCATCCTCTACTCTGGCGTATTCTTCACAGGCTGCTAAAATGCCTGGCTGTTCCTAAAAGTCATTTATGCAGCAATATTTGTTTTGACCATCATAAATGACAAATTATTCCACATGGCTACTTGAGTTGAATGATTCTGCCCGAATTCACTCTTTGATCATAGTTTTTCAATTAAATTCTTTCAAGTCTCATTACATCTCTCACTTTTCAGATTACAGCTGCTGCTGTTGCTAGATTTTGTTTGTGGGTTTGGGACTCCTTTGTTAGCAAAAGTAGTTGATGGTGATTTGCTATTGTTAAACCAAGGGGTGAAATGGATTTAGGACAAGCAACTAGTTGGACTTCCCAGCAGCTCTAGTGCCCTACAAAGAGAAGCTACCACAAAAGAAGTGGGGATATGAGCTAAAAGTATGTCCACCATTTGTAGTGGTTGCTTTTCTGCCCATTTTCAATCCTCTGTGAACTGGATATGCTGCTTTACATTGTTAGAAATCTAGGCTAGTGACACATTGGCATTTACTGGGTGCTGATGAGAATTAAATTTATACCTGAAGTAATCTGAAGTGCACTCTAGGCCTTACCAGTGTATGGTG